TAAGCATATGCTAAATGGAGAAACACTAAAACTGGTTCAGTAGTGGAACTCTCAGTACAGCAATAAATGCTGAAGTGCATTATGATTCCTAGGAGGGAAAGTAGCACTTTCCTTTGGCTTGGAGACCCTAGTTAACTGCTGCAGGAGCCTCAGTAATGCTACCAGTGTAGAATGTGCTGCACGTCTAGACACTAAATATGGGTCCATTTTTAGCAGGGTTGCTGGTGAGTGGTGTATTTGGAGGCATTAAGCCTCTGGCCTTGGAGGAAGGATGCTGAAGTGGTGGTGCAGTGCCAGGGGTTTGGATTAAGCTGCAGTATTTTAATCTAGGCTCATTGTGCTCTCTTAAACATGCTGAATCTGTAAAAATCCAACACCACAATACCTAGGAAACAGGAAAGTAATTTGCTGATAGACAGGGTTGTGATTTGCTGGGCAAAGGCTTCAGTCAGAAAAACATATACTTAAACAAAACTATATGCCATTTTAAGGCTGTTTTTATCCCAGTTTAGACTCAACTCGGCATTCCTCATCTCTACTCCATGAACGGTGCGTTTATTTGATGACTGTTAACCTCCTCCAGTGTACGATATGGACAAGTTGGTGACACGCTGCCCTATTTGGAATAGTGACTTATCAGTCTTAAGGAGTAAGATGGGATGATAAACCAGACTGCTGCTTTCATGGAAGATTTGCTTGAGGTTTTTCTTCAGACTTGTACAAGCAAAGGGTAGAGGAGGGTGTAATTGCTGACATTTGCACGATGAATTTCACATCAAGTCTCACTTGATCTGCACTTTGATCTTCCAATATGCATATTATAACTGGAATCTCACTCTTGTAACACTAGAGAAGAATAATGGATGATAATAGAAATTTGCATCACTGTTTTATGTCTGCTGCTGTCATGTTGCAACAGAATGCCCTGGGTGACACAACTGGTCCCTAACACTGTTACTGATACAAGTGGTTCATCTCTGGAATAATACTCCAGGGACATGAGGTGAAAAATAATGGTGTCTGAAGCACTGAACTGCAGGCTACAGTTTGGTTTTATAAGTGAAATAGATGATGGAAGACATTGAATTTCTAGTCTCTTGCTTTCTTATGTTTCAGAGTATCACTGGTTGCAAGTCTCTAGATGGAGAGAAAGTGCATTTGGTGAGTCTTGACTGTACTGTATCCTGTGATCATGTGCTAACTTCCTCCTTGGTTGGGAGCCTCTGTGATGTGGAGTGCTAAGTGTGTGCTTACAGTACTGATAGAGGTAGAGCCCAAGGACTTCATCTTCATTGGAAAACCACACAACATGCAATGCCTGAACCATTTAAACATCACATTTTCAGTGACTCCCTGGTGGAAGGAGCAGAGGAACAGGGAGCTCAGTTCTGACAGAATAAGCAACTTTTTCAATTACAAAAAATGTAGATGTTTTGAAAATTCAGCTTAACTGAATGGCAGGTTTCAGGCTGACTAGTTGTTCTTTTTGAAGTAGACTGTTAATTGTAACTGCCTGAAACTCGAAGAGAGATCTGGGAAACAACATCTAATGCTCCTTGTGTGCTGTTTGCAGCCAACACTACAAGTTTTCTTAATGAAATCTGAAAGAGAGGGTTAGTTATAAAAACACAGCCTGAAGTGTTCATTGAGTTTCAAGGAACTAAATTCAGCAAATTTGATCATGTTAAAGTGCCTTTGAGATGGTTTCCTTCCAGCCAACTTTAAATAGCTTTCTACCAGTTAAAGGGAAAAAGCTCACACCTTGAACCAAAATCCAAGTTTGTTCTCTTCTAGTTCAGCTGAAGAGGCTGAGCCCAGCACACAACTGGTGGGGCTCAGTCCTTCATGTACTCTGCCTAGTATTGGTCTGAACTCTGACACTTGATACTTCAGGGGAGTTTTGCTGCCAATGCTCTGCTGCAGGGTACAGATGTGAACAGAGGCACTTGGTAATGCAGTAGTGGTCATCACATTTCTAACTCTGTAAAGAACTGCTCTTCCTTTTTGTAGCATAGTAAAATTGTGACCAAACCCCCCTCCCTTCACCCCTGCTGGTTTTAAGTGGTATTAACTTAGGACTCGAGTCTGCCAAGTGTTAAACAAGAGGGTGAATGACAAACAAACTTGTGTCCCAGGAAGTGATGCTGTCAGACCAGGCTGTGAGCACTGCAGCAGAGCTGCACGGGAAGTCGTGGTGGTTCATACTGTAGCTTTTTGTTCTGAGCCTGGATTCCTTTGGATTGCAGTCATCCAGCACTCTTACAGAAGCACAAAACCTGGTCTGGCTTCAAGTGTAGTGTATCTGAAAAAGGTGTAGTCACTGTTTCACACCACTAAGTGGAGTGAGAATGCTGGTGTTGAAGGTACTAACACAGCAGAGCAAGCTGCTGGCTAAAAGCTGACAGATGCCTTAATGACTGTCATTGGCTTGTACAACTTCTTGCATAGTGCTTCTAAATTAACCTGTAACAATATGGGATGTTGAGGCTGGATTGTTTTGTAGATCAAATATTAATAGGCAAGTCCTCTTTTTCCTGTAACCAGCAGCATTGGTACTGCAGCAAACTCGTCTCTAGAAAAATCAAAGCTTGTAAAAGTGACAGATAACTCTGACCATTCTAATACCCTCTGTGAAATAGAAAAGGGAGTCTTAGAACAATGGCGTTTTTTATCTGCAATGTTTGTCTGGAGTCATTGTAAAAATGTATTTTTCCAATATGCATTACTTTGTTGTGTAATGATTCTACTTGTAATAAAATGCATAACTAGATCATGCATTGGGAGGTAGGAAACCTTGTTCAGATAGTCTCTCCTGTAAAGACAGCTGCCCCTCTGTGAGTTGTCCTCTACAAGGCACAAGGAAAACAAGGGCTGTGACACAACAGCGCATGACAACTTGTATTCCTTGTTTTGAGGTTATTCTAGGTACTCATTTTAATGTTGGGGAACTGCTACAACTGTTCTGGTTTATACCACCTAGTCATCTCCAATGCCTTATACTAGACTTACCTGTAATCATTCCTATGAAACAATCCTGACTTCCTACAGGCCAGAGCTGGTTCATGGAGTAAAACACTTCGCAGCTCAGATCCACTTCAGTGGATGAGTAACATAGTCTTGGTGTGCTCAGCTGCACACTGGTGGGCAGCTTGGCCTCCTGGAAGAGATGTAACTGCTGCAGCTTTACTTCAGGATAAGGAAAGCTTCAGTGCAATAGCGGAACCCGCCAAACCATCTTGGTGAGATTGTGATGCATTAGTCTTTTATTAATAAAACTTATTAAAGTATGGGTGAATGGTGAGCTTTATTAGAGCACTGCCTCTGTGCACTTGACCCCTGTGTAACTGTCACTATTCTTTCCCACCCTTTTCTACCCTAGGAGCATGGAGCTGAGCCTTTGGAACACTTCAGGCCCCTGAGGGAGTCTCCATGTTTGCTTTAATAGATGACTTATCCCTACTGCAAGCCAAACTCCCCCTGCAGTGTTACCAAACACTATCACTGAATAAGCTGTGAATTGGTTTTCAACCAGTTGAAGTTAAAGCAGCACCATCCTGTCTTTCCTTCCTGCAGCAGCTTATTTGGTTTTGGTGTGGCTCTTAAGATAAGAACCATCCCTGCAGCATTCCAGCATTATTTGCATAGTGCTCAGGCATCCCAGCTGTAGCCTCAGCTATAAACATCACTGGTGAGAAGTGCTGCTGCATGACCTACTGTTGCTGCCAGAAGGGACTACTCCAAAGCAATGCAGCCAGGCCTCCTGTGAGCTCATCCACTTATGAACTAATAACTCAGCTCTTCAGAGGTGGCAGTAGCTCGAAACTTAAGTTTATAAATGCCTTCTAGCTCTTTCTACATAGGTGGCAGTTGCCTTAAGGAAAACACAGCTCAGCACACGTGTGCCACTGCAGAACTCTGTGTAATCTGTGTCTCTCAAGGTTACAGCTACATCAGAAACTGACTGTAACAGTAGAGTCTTTGAAAAACAGCAACTGCTTTTCTGCATTTGGGGAGTTAGAGTGCCTAAGCCCTCTGCAGGTGCTCCCTTGTCCCTTTCAGCCCCACACAGGAATGGTAATAACCTGCCCTGCTCTTTTGGGAGTCACTTATATCACTGAATTTTGCCAGCTATAATAAAATCTGTACAGACTTTATGGAGCTGGGCTCTGCGAGGATACACCCAGCCTTGGGCTGTAGTCCGAAGGGCACATACCAGGCAGGAGGAGGTGCCAGGGAAGCAGGAGACAGATTACAGCAGGATTGTCATGCTGCCACATTGCTTTTATTATCAGATACCGAGAAGTACCAGCTCCTCATCCAAGTAGCCTGAAAGTAGTGAATCATAGGAGCAGGAAGGTGAGGTTAATATTAAACAAGGATCCGCATAGGTGGAACCCCACTATCTTCTTTGCACACTATCTAATACAAACACTAAATGAGGGAATGCAGTTCCGACTTTAGCGTTCTGTACTCCCAAGATTCTGATAAACCTTGTGTGTAACCAAGCTGTACAGGTTCCCAGATAATACCTACCTTAATTATATGAGCCATTCAGGCTTCTCCCTGCTACCTTTAAACTTTGGAGTAAATCAATTGACTGGGAAGGAGTATAAGCACTACACTGCAGCAGGCAGAGTTCAAATGACTGCTGACTGTGTGTAAACTGGAGTCAGAGATGCTGCAGCAGTTCCTGTGGTCACAACCTTGCTGCCTTAAAACACAATACATTGCACAAACTCATCTCCTGACTCCACAAGAAACCAGCTGTTAAGTATAATTCAGGTTTTGCATCTTACAGTTTGTTGCCAGATGTAAAAATACAATCAGACTGAAGCACTAAGTATCCCATTACTGATTGTTAGCCACTCTTTTGGCTGAAGTGTTGCCTTCTCCTCTCAACTCCATCACCACAAGTTAGAGTCACAACATGAGGTTGCTGTTACCCCTTCATGCAGACTGAGAGGAACACAGCTGGAGCTGCCCATACAAAGCTTGTTTCGCTGCAGGGCTCTTAACAGCGGCCTCGAATCCAGCCCTGGGAGTCACTCCTTCAGGACACACTGCTCTGCTAGCGGAGGGCAGCCGCTGTATTCCTGCAAGTGAGGGTTATCCAGGTCGCCTCTGTTGCGGTGCTTGGTGGAGTCCGGCTGCCCCCACGGGGGACCAGTTGTCCTCACACACACGCAGCGGCTGCCTTTGGACCCCGGGTGGAACAGCTTCCGAGGGACTCCGGTCCAGTCTCTGCTCACTCCCCCACTGAGAATGGAAAAGTCACAATTTCAACCCATGAAAATCACAGAATCCCAAACTGGTTTGATTGAAAAGACCTTAAAACTCATCCAGTTCTAACCCCCTGCCACAGGCAGGGACCCCTTCCACTGGAGCAGCTTGCTCCAAGCCCCTGTGTCCAACCTGGCCTTGAACACTGCAGGGATGGGGCAGCCACAGCTTCTCTGGGCACCCTGTACCAGCGCCTCAGCACCCTCACAGGGAAGAGCTTCTGCCTAAGAGCTCATCTCAGTCTCCCCTCTGTCAGGTTAAAGCCATTCCCCTTGTCCTTCCCCTAAAGGCCCTTGTAAAATGCTTCCAAGTGAATTGAGAATCAGTAGATAAAAGCCTAGGATAATCTGGGAGAGTTAGAACTAACAACACGCCTACTGAGGCAGACTCCCAACATCTCAGCTTTCTGGTTCATTTTATCGGCTGTGCTTCAGAAACCCATGGCCTGAACATGCTTTCACAGTGCTGGTATATGCTGTCACCCTTCTGGGAGCAACCAAGTGCCTCCTGTGTTTCTATTGCTGGAAAAGGAATCACAGCCTTACATAGCACAGCCTGTCTAATAGCAAAAATGCCTTTTTTGGTGTAGCTAATTGCTCACAGATCACCACATGCCACCTTCTTCTGTGCCTTGCCTAAACACAAAGAGTCCAAGAACTAGGCCAGAAAGAAAAAACCCAAAGTCTCAAGTACTTCCACGACTACTTCAGTGTCTTACTTAGCCAAATCCTGCCTGATCCCCTAACTACTGCCCCTTTTAAGCCTGTAAACCTTTTACACAAGTGACTGCCACACAACATGCAGTCCCAAGGCTGCACTCAAGCTCATTCACACACAGAAGCAGATCTCCCCATGCTACTTGTGCACTGAAATGAAGCCTAAGCATTTTGCAGTGTGGTCTGTGGAATGATTTTGTCTTGAACCAGAACAGTCACTAAACTGAGAGAGGTATACAACTAAACAGCCCAAGCAGGAAATGACTAGTCAAAGCTCAAGCTCATTTTTATGTGGTTGTAAATGAAAACTCTTGTGGCAGTACCCTGTGAGACACACTGTGAAACTGTCTGAAAAGCAGGAGCTAATCCTTGCATTCCCTGTCTGAATGCAGCAGCTGGTAATAGTGGGATTTCTGTCCTGTTTTCCTGAGAACAGGAGGATTGTGTGCACATGTGGCAAATTCTGAAACCTGATCTTGATTCCAGTGTGACAGCAGAGTTTTTGCCTCAGAAATAAAATTCCTAAGCATACTGATTGGGATGAGATCATTTGCCTTTTACCTACAAAGTGAGACCAGTTCCCCTCCACGGCCTCATGCTGGAGAAACCCAACCTCACGCTCCGTGCAACCCCAGACTGGCTGAGAAAACACAGGGGCTCCAATTCACAGAGCAGGAGTGGCACAGCAGAGAACTGCACCACTGCTCCTTGGCAGTGGGCTCTGCCCTGTCAGAAAGCAGAGCCTGGGGGTGTTGGCTGACAGCCGCCTGAACAGAAACCAGCTTGTGCCCAGGTGGCCAACAGCATCCTGGCTTGTACCAGCACCAGTGTGGCAGCAGGGCCAGGGCAGTGACTGTCCCCCTGCACTGGGCACTGGTGAGGCTGCACTTCAAATCCTGTGTTCAGTTTTGGGCCCCTCACTACAAGAGGGACATTGAGGGGCTGGAGCAGGGCCAGAAAAGGGAACGGAGCTGGTGCAGGGCCTGGAGCACAAGGGTGATGGGGAAGGGGTGAGGGACCTGGGGGGGGTCAGTCTGGAGAAGAGAATGCTCAGGGGGGACCTGATTGCTCCCTACAACTGCCAGACAGGAGGATGGAGCCAGGAGGGGCTGGGCTCTGCTCCCAAGGAACAAGGGATGGGACAAGAGGAAACAGCCTCAAGCTGCACCAGGGCAGGTTTAGATGGAGCTGAGGAACAATTCCTGCCCCAGAGGGTTCTCAGCCATTGGAACAGGCCACCAGGGAAGTGGTGAAGTCAGATGTGTGTCACTTGGGGACACGGTTTAGTGGTGGCCTCAGCAGTGCCAAGATAAAGCCTGTAATTGATAATCATAAAGGTCTTTTCCAACCTGAGCGATTCTATACCTGCAGACAGAGCAAGGGACCATGCCAGGCATATTCCAGCCATACCAGCACTCAGCACACCAGGACCAACCTATGCCCTTTGTGAAGCAGGCAGCAGATCTCACCTACAGCCTACAGTGAGCCAGGACATCTTCCTATGCCACTCCTACTAGGCGAAGCAATGACGAAGCTCAGGGCATCCAAAGAAAGGTCAGAAACACTGTTCCAGTGGGCCCAAGCATGACGGCAGGACTGCAAGATTTTACCTCTGTTTGGAGCACCAGAACCGGCTGCCCGCAGCAGAGCTCCATTCTGAGTTGCAGGGTGGAAACTGCTGCTTCCTCTGCTCGCTTTCTGCTTGCAACTTCAGAGCTTCCTCAATGGCAGCCTCAGCCTGCCTTAAAGCTTCTGTTGGCGCCCCATATTCATCATAGAACCTGCCCACCAGCTTCCCTGACAGAGAAAAGCAATGAAGACCACAGTGTTTTCAGGCAAAGAAAACGAACAGGGTTTAAATTTGTTATTTAAAGACAAAAAAAGGCAGATCTTGGCCACAGCCCAATATGAAAACCAAACTGAGCTTTCCATCTCTTCAAGCCTTGGAGGTTCCCAGACTCCCATCCCCGTGCTGCAGGCAGGTTTCCCCGACTGAACCACCTACCCACGGGCTCGTAGTGCTCGCTGTAGAAGGCCAGCCAGCTCTGGATGGCCAGCAGCTGGCCTGGTGACAGCGCTGAGACATCATCCACCAGCCCCGCCGCAGTGAAGTCGCCGGTGGCAAATGCTCTGGTGGCATCTCTCCCTGTGGGGCAGGCAGCGGGACACGGGCAGGAGGTGAACCCCAGCCTGGCCCTCCAGCCCCCTGACAGGCCCAAACCCTGGTCCCAGAGGTCTCCCCTGCCCCTCCAGAGGTACCTGCGAGGCCACTGTAGGCACCTCCGGGGCCATAATGTCTGCGGCCGCGCTCCACATCGAAGACACGGCCCAACACGGCGAGGTAGAGGCCGGGCTCGCCCGGCGCCCCGCGGTACCGGGCCAGCTCAGCGCTGCTCAGCAGGCGGCCGCGGGGCAGCGGCAGCCAGGCGCGGGGATCGAACCCGCGGCCCAGAAGGCAGGCGGCCCCCAGGCACAGCAGCGCCGCCACCGCCCCCGCGCCCCGCCGCATGGGGCCGCGCCACGACCGCGCCCGGCCCTTTCACGACGTTTTTCTCGCCGCACGGCAGTGTGGCCAGCACCGGTAGGGTGTACGCACGTTGGGTGGACACTATCCCTCCCGCGGCTCCGCTTTACGGCGAGTGTCGCGCGGTGCGACTGCCCCGTGCCTTTCCGGGGCGGGGCTTTGCGGCGCCGGGTGGTGCTTGGCGGCAGTGTGGCGCGGCCGCCGCCGGCCGGAGCTGACAGGTGCGGCAGTCCGGGAAGCTGCTGACTAAGCCGGGCCGGGCGGAGCCGCGGGAAGGCGGAGGATAAGTGGCTCTGCCGAGCGCCTGGTCGCAACGTCGGCGTTTCCGAGGGGCTCATGGGGACGGCGGCGAGCCACAGCAGCGAGGACGAGGAGGAGGGGGGTGCCGAGGAAAGCATGGAGGGGGCAGCCACCGCACCTCAGCCCGGCGCTCCCTTCCCGCCTGGCACCGCCGCCAGCCCGGCGCCGCCGCTGCCTCCCGCTGAGGTGCTGCTGGACCAGGCCCGCTTGCGGGAGGCCACGGCGCGGCTGCGGGAAGCGGCGCTGCCCGAGTCGCTGGTGTCGCGGCACCACAGCACTCTGGTGCGCTGGCTGGAGGAGCGCCTCAGCCGCGGCGACGAGGCCGTCAGCCTGGAGCAGTTCTGCGAGGTGCTGGAGAGCGTCTCCCGCCTGGCCGCCGGTTCCCGCGGAGAGAGCGAGGAGGTGAGGCGGCGGCCGGCGGGGCCAGGCCCTGCTTGGGCCGGGGGTGGAGCTCCCTCCGGAGCCCGGGTGAAGGGGGGAGTGGAGGGAGGCGGTGGGAGCCCGAGGGTGCTGCTGGAGGTGGGTCTCACCGAGCCGGAGGTGCCCGGGCTCGGCCATGGGGACCCGGGTCACTCCTTCAGGTAACCGGGGCAAGGCCAGACCAGAGGGCTCTGCTGCGAGGCCAAACAGGCGGCTGCTGGTGCCGATAGGCAGGCTGTCAGCTTGTAGATAGCTTTTTTATTAATTAATTAATTATGTCTGGTTTTGGAGATTACACTCAGCAACTGCTTCTGAATAAAATGGTATTTTACTACAACCTGCTGCTGCTGTTATTGCCAGCAGCAATAGCAGCGGTGGGTAGCACAGGTAGGAAATTCGGCCCAAGTAATTCCTTCGAGATGGTATCAGCAAGTCAGAGTTTACCAGACTTAATTTTCTTGTTCCTGTTGAAAACCAGCAGTGAATATGTCAAGTATCTCATTGGTATCCTATTGCTTACTGTAAACTAAGAGGTTTGAAAAACTTGTTAGAAAGTAGTGTAACAGAGTTCCCCCTCTACAGAGAGAAGGTCTCAAGGTAAAGTTTTAATGGTAGAAGAGCGCCCTGTTTCCTTTCTAGTGTCGGAAGGGACCTGGATAAATTAACGTTTGGAACGTTTAGCTTTACTCCCTAGCTAGCATTCAAAATGCAGTCGAATACCCTGCTGGGAATTTCACACTCAGCTGAGAAAGTGGTTGTGTCCGAATTTGTTACTGCATGCAGTTCTTGAGGCTCACCAGTGCTTTCGTTCTGCCTTTGTATTGCTCCTGAGTAGCAGAATAACTTGGTAAACTGTTAAATCACGTGTATGCTCCTTGAAACTGGTGCTGTTGTATTAAAAAGGCTACTGGAACCTGGGAAGAGGTTGCTTTTGTTGTACAGATGAGTATGGTTGCTTCAAGTAGCTTGCTAAAATGCTGCTGCCTCCATTTCCAGTTGCTTTACAAGAACCAATAAAGAACACTTCTTCATTTGTAAAGACAGCAAGAGCGAAATCAGTACATAAGGATTCTTCCTCTTAGTTACGAACAACTGAGCTTTGCAGGCTGAGGGAATTATTTTGAGTATTGAAGAATACAGTTGTTTTGGTTTAGTATTTTTTTGCTCTGGGGGGGGCAACTTTATCAATAGATTTATCATGGAACCGATAGATGATCTCATCTAGTCTATCCTGCAAAGCTGATATGTCGGAGTTGTGTGGAAACCCTTGATGTCATTGTTTCTGTGACTGGCACCAGCCCACAGGCTGTAGTAGTTTAGATTTCCAGGATGTATTTTAAACTGATGAGAAGTTAGTTTGTGGGTGGCAGGTCAATAGGTTTCCCTTTTTAATGTCTGTGCAGGTTTGATCTGTCCATTAAGTTTTTCTGGTGTCAGTGTGGGGCTTGTGAATACCTGCTTTGAATGCTTTATGGGCAAACTGAACCTCTGTTGAAATGCAAAATCTTGTTTTGTAGAGAAATTAAATCTCTGAATCCTTTTTTTTATTCATTTGTGTTTCAGCAGCTGTCATACAGTGTGTCCAAGTTTCACTCGAAGTATTAGTGCTGCATTTCTGAGAGCAGAGGGTGAAATGAAGAGTTTTCTAAGAGTTTAAAAATAAAATAATAGTGCATGAAGATGCAAAGAAAAGCATAGATGTTGTAATCTCTCCTTCCATGAAAGTGTAAGAAACTGGTTTAAAGTAGCTGTGGGCTAATCCAACCTTGCTGTCTGATGTGTTTGTTTTCACTAGTAACATCACAAAACTTGCTTGTTCACCTCATATTTTAGTAATTACACAGTTCCACCTTAAATATGAGGAGAAAAAGATGTAATGGCAAGAATGATATGGTAAAAAACCGTGCATTGAAGTGTTCTGGCAACTGAGTTCTATTTGTTTAAAATTACTTCCCTCTGGATTGTTGTCCGTAGGCAAAGGTCTTGGTTTTTTGTTTCAGTGTCTACCTGATGCCCTGTCTGCTTTGCTACTAAGAGTAATACTTATATAGTTGATTGCTGTTAGCATGGTTCCACTGTATGTTTAATAGAGTTTGTAAAGTCCTAAGCTAAAATTCAGCTCTGTGCTGCAGAAGTGCCATTGAAGCTTTAGTCAGCCAAAATAAGGCGTTGCGATTCTGTTGTCTTATGAGGACTTTGCTCTCATTTAGGTGGTGTAATTATGGCATGGTTAATTGCCAGGTTATTTTGATCCAGTCATTTCAGATTACTTCTCTCCAGGATAGTACTTTTAATGGTACATCAAGTTCGATAAGCAGGTAGCAAACCAAGAGATTCAAGCATAAGCTTCCTCCTGAGCAGCAGTGACTTCTTGACTGTCAGGCATGTGTGAGATGATCTGTTCTTAGAGGCCAAATGTACTCAGCTATGTAGCTGAACTTGAAATACCAAGTTCAGGGCTAGGAAACTGAAGCCTTGCTTGTGAAGAGATTAGCAATTAAACGGAAGATGTTTCAGAATTAAATGTGATTCTGAAAATATAGCTAGGGTTTTTAGTAGTATTGTGTCACAGGACTGTGACTCCTTTGAAGTGGCTGGTTAAAAGCATTATGTTTATGAGCTTGGTTCTGCTTTACAGGCTTAGCTGAATAAAGGTACCTTGTACTTTTGTTAGTAAAAAGACGTGAAATGCAAAGCTGTGTGAGTTACTTATTATACATGCTCAGCATAGCTTTTTATGTTAAACATTTCTATCAAAGTCAAAGATAATAAAGTTCCCCTGAATAAAAAAAAAAAGAACCTTTTCTAACTCTTTTCATTGTTTTCACAAATACTTTAACAAACGATATTAAACTGGTGTTTTGTGTAGGACAGTGCATGGAAGGAAATACATGTTTTAAAAACTCTGGTTCTAAGGATGCTTTCCTAACTGAAGAAAATGCATGAAACCTGGAAGAATTGGAGAAGCTGCAGCATGAGATGGGTGCAGCAGTAATGGGCAATGCCTGGTATGGCTTTTAGAACTAACTCAGCCTTTAATGGAAGAGATTTTTAGTGCTCTTGTGAGCACCTTCTTTGTAGTCTCAGATGTTAGTGGATGGATGCTGCTGATTCACTGGTATAGATGATGTGCTGTCTCCACCTAAGCATAACTACAGTTGACTTTTATAGGAAGGCAGTGCAACTGCCTTAAGACTTGCTGAAGACTGCAGATTTCCAGCCAGGCTGTTCCCTCTTGTCATTAATTCAGTGCTATGGAAAATGGGTTATTTTGATTATTATTTTGTGCTGATATGTTATATGGCTTCTATGAAATACCCTGAATTTCTGCTTCAATCAAATACGCTGAAATACGTTTTCTTCTAATTTTTCCTCTTCAGGCCTTTGCACAATTTGATGCTGAAGGAGATGGCACTGTAGATGTGGAGAATATGCTGGAGGCTCTCAAGAATTCTAGTGGAGCTAATCTTCAAGGGGAGCTTAGCCATGTAATCAGGCAACTGCAAGCCTGTTCCCTAGTTCCAGGTATGAGAACAGAGTGACCAAACAGATAGTTTCCCAAGTCTTGCCCTGTATAAGGGATGTTGCTTCTATAAATTGCTTTAATAATGTTCTTGTCCTAATCTTATCAAAACCATACTCCAGATCATTCTTGCTTCTTTAGTATCAAACAAGTGAAGTTGCTGTAACTTAAAAATTTCACATAGTTACATCTAGCTAACTTACTTTCATAAATAACCAGTATTTTCCTGTCTCTGTGACTGAGGATCTTCTTACCATTGTCTACTTTATCTCGCAGACAGGAAACAGTTCTATGCAAAATGTTGGTGTCTAGCTAATGCAGTCTTGTACTTGGAGGAGTAAGTCCTCTTCTGAGTCTGTTTCAGGTGATGATTCATGGACTTTATTATTAATATAATGTTATTTGAAATGCTTCTGAAACAGAATTCATTTTTTATGGTGTGTAGTTGGGAAAGTGTCAGTTCCCAGAATCTGATTTCTGGGATAAGTACCAGTTACTGTCTTTCCTTCCAAGCTTTTGATGGTAAGTGGCTAAAGAAGATTTGCCTTAGAGGATCAGACAAGAAGTGCTAGAACTGGCTACACATAAGTCAGAAGACAGTACTCGTGGAGTACTGTTTTGTGCATCTAAATGCACTATGATCCAGAGAATTGCTGTTAAGGAAATGAAATTTCTTACAAAGTTGGTGGAAAACATTAGGCACCCCAGTGCCAGAGTGAGATGCTTAGTGTAGCTCAAGGTAGGTGATGCAAATACA